CCCTAAACCCTTATAAACCCCTAAGCCCCTAAACCGCAGGCTGCGAGAGACCTGCCGAGCAAGTGGGATAAGGAGCGATTTCAGGTCGTCGATGCAGGAGACCTCGGGCTATTCAGGGGCCTGTAGTGTTGAAGGGCCTGGGATTAAGGGTAAAGGGGCTTTTGAAAGGGTTGAGCGGTTTTTGAGGGTTTAGGGGTTTAGTTTTGTGTGGGTTGAGGGTTTGAGGGTCTGGGGGTTTAGGGTTTAAGGGTTTTGAGGGGTTTAGGGTGTGCAGGTTTAGGGTTTAGGGTTTAGTTTTTCTACTCTTTAAATTGAACCGGACCGGATCCTCTGGGTACCCTTTAAGGGAACCCCTGGGGTATCCCTTTAAAGGAACCCCTAGGGTCTCCCTTGAACGGAGCCCTGCGTAACTTAGGGCATCCCTATAAAGGAACCCTGTAGGGTTTCGTACGATTTTACAAGGGTCTGATAAGGGAGGCTGTCTACAAGGGTTTAGGGTTTTAGGGTTTAGGGTTTAGGGCTCCTGTACAGGGGTTCCCCTAAGGAGCTAAAGGGGTCTTATTCGGGTTCGGCCAGGGTTTACAGAGAAAATGCCAGAGGTGTTCCATGATCGCGTCAAGAGTAGCTCAGATCAGTGCCCCTAAAAAGACTGAACAATTAACCTACAAGCCTTTAAACCTGGGACCTGAGGAGACGGGATGATTGCCCTGCACAGCCCCACCAACAATCGCTTCGTCACGATGGATAAGAATGGACATGTTCGAGACTCAGGGGTTCCGTTTTCAAGTTTGGGCACCCAAAAGGAACATAAGCACAAGCATTTTATAGGGAAAGCCCTTCCTTATTGGGCTTACTTATTAAGGGGGTTTATATGGGATCCTGATCCTAATTTTTGCTTATGTGTTTTTTGGGGGCCCTATTTAAGTTGTTTTGAGGATTTCCAAAAGAGCTCCCTTAAAACTTAAGGCCAAACCCCTTAACGAAACCTCAAAGCAAAAGGGCTTAGGGCCTTATTGGCTTTTTAGGGATGCCATAAAGGTTCCTTTATGGGATGCAGTACACCGAGGGTTCCGTGAAGGTCCGAGCGAGTTCGAAGAAGAGTGCGAATGCTCTGCCGGCAAACTGGAACCTGGAGCGCTTCTATGCAGTGCCCGCAAGGCCCTCCCTTTTGAGCAGGTTTTAGGGCTTATAGGACCCTAAACCCTAAACCCTAAACCCCTAAACCCTAAAGGGTTTATAAAAACCCTTAAAACCCTAAGCCCTAAACCATCAAAAGTAGCGGGCCGCTTGGGGGTTTCAGCGTTAGGGGTTTTGGGGTTGAGATTGTTTTTAGGGCTTAAGGGCTTCAGGGCTGAATGTTTAGGATTTTTTCGGGGTTTAAGGTGCATGTTTAGTTTTTGGGGATAGGTTAACTGTTTTTGGACGTAAAGTTTAAGGTTTTAAAGTTTAAGGTTTTATAGGATTCGAAGTTGAAGGTTTATAGGGCCTAGCGCCTGCGAGGCCCTGGATTGAGGCTGGCTCCGTCGTTGCCCTGCACAGCAAGAAGCACAATCGATGCATTCGCATGACGAAGGATAGGATGGAGACAACGAAGACTGGCAAGAACATTCCCAAAAATTGGCCCCGAGAGATATTCACGGTCGTGGATGCCGGTGGCATGTCCTATCTTCGGGTTGCCTTCAGTCAGGGTGCTCATGTCCGTCGGACTTTATACTTACCAGTCGCAGAACGATGGCTCGAAGAATAAGCCTGTTTGGTGACTTTCCACCTTCAGCCAACAGCCACTAGGAAGTCCCAGTTCAGGTAATGGCATGGTTGCGCTTCACAATGCTCACAGCAACCGCTTCGTGTCCATGAGAGACAAAGGGATGGGCACCACCCCCGAGAAGGATGCTTGATCTTCAATGGGGCTCGTTCCGGGCTTTGGGTTTGAGATGCTATAATATAAGGGCCTAGATAATAACACAAACTATATTGGGGCTTCCTTATTCTAAATGCAGTATAAATGTAACCCAAAAATTCCTCTTATACTTATTTAGGCCCCCTTTTTTCAGCTTTGGGATTCGGGACTTGCGGTTCGGCATTTGGGGGTGTAGCGTTGGCTCCGGGGCATGGGCCGGAAGGCTAGAAGTACTGTTGATGATATTAGGGTTTAGGGATTTGGGTTTTGGGTTTAGGGTTTAGGGTTTAGGAATCCTGCATTACCTCAAGCACCCTAAACTATAGGAATTATGGTATATTCCTTACTATGGGTAATGCAGGGTTTATATCATTAACCGCACTAGCCATCAGACTCCACGTTAGTCGTCACGGCTGAACCTCTTCACTGCTGAACCTGCTCATTGCTGAACCTGCTTTAACATCACGCGCAGTTTTCCTGCTTGTCGCCCCGAAACCCGAATCCCAAACCCTAACCTCTTTCAACCAGAAAAAGGCCTTAACCGTAAATGCGAACCCAGGCTGCCAATGCACTGCCCAGTAAGTGGGGATGGGAGCGTTTTGTCGTTATTCCGACCAAGCCCCAAGAGAATGAGATCGCGTTGTGGCAGCCTGATCACAATCGTGCCTTGGCCAGTGTTGGAACAAGCGGTGCCTGAACCTAAACCCTAAACTTACTAGACTTGGGACAACATTCTTAAACTACGCTGTCTGGCCTGGTCGGTTGCATTAGGCCTCGGGCGAGTGGCAACATGCGCGCACAAGAGTCCCGCAGAAATATAAAACTTGTTGGGCTCTTTGACCCCTAAACCCTACCGCCTAAACCCCGCAGCCCCAACCTGCAAAACCAAAGAAGTAAACCCCTAGACCACAAAGCTGCAATGCGAGAAACCTGAAAGCTTTAAGGGCCGTTTAGGGTTTAGGGTTTAGGGCCGTTCAGGTTTTAGGGTTTAGGGTTTAGGGCCGTTGAGGGTTCAGCTCATGGGCTGCCAGCCCCAAACCGGTAAGGAGTGTCTACCCATAGGCCCCTAAGTAGTTCCCTTTTATGGTTTGTTTTTAGAATCCTATAAGGTAACCCCAAAAATGTACTACTTAGGGGCCTATGGGTAGTCGCAGGAATAGTACGGCTCCTTGTCGTCTAGGGCTTAGGGTCTATTGAAGGTATCCTATACAGAAGGGTCGATTTGAGGGTCGATCCTCTCAAACCCTAAAGCCTTAAGCCTCTAAGCCCAAGATTAGTACGTGCAGGAAAGTAATCAGTAACTCACTCAACAATTAGAGCAGACATAAAGCATGAAGTAGCACTAACTACTGTAAGAGTAGACCGGATAGACTCGTTTTTGCAAACCCTGAGCGGCACATGCTCGTTACCCTGAGGTTTCCTGAGAGTCAACGACAAGGGTGGGTGTGACAGAAGTTCCCGAAAGTCGCCCCAGGACGCTTGAAGCACACGTTCACAACAGCCCCTAAACCCTAAACCCCTAAACCCTAAACCCTAAACTTGTGTACCGTCGGCCTTTGCGGGCTTCTGTAAGACGGCTGCCTGTCATTACATCTTTGCACATCGGTCGTCCTCCTGTCTCTAGTCTTGGCAACAGCGTGAAGTTTTCAAGCCGTTTGGTTACAGTAAGCTCAGTAATGTTGTTTGGATCGGAATGTGTGTTTTAGTGTTAGTTTGATGTGGCAAGTTACATGGGAACTTAAAGTGCGTGGACCCAAAACTGGCATAAGGCTCATATGTAGGGCTTAGGCTCTTACTATATATGTAGGGCCTAGGCTCTTACTATCTGCAATGCGATTGCTTGGACCCAGAAGTTTCGGAACCCGCTGTCAAGATGTACCCCGGTTCATGGTTTAGGGTTTAGGGATAATAGGTTTAGGGTCTTGGGGTCTTGGGTGTTATGACTTTGTTACCCGATGCGTCCAAGTACCTTGTAGTCCAAGTACCTAGTAGTCAGAGATGCCCTGTGCTACGTTCCAAAACCTGAGCACTTAAATATAACTTCACTGAGAGGGTTGGTTGCATTATGGTATCTCATCTTGCGTTATGTAATGTTAGGCTACATGATTATACAGACGATCTTATACTATGTCATACTATCTTACGCTGTTTGCTTGAGGATCAGATCAGTAGGTTGACCCTGATTGCGATACTGATAACCATCTCGTCATATCATACCCGGCAAAGGGTTTGGGAATTAGGTTTTAGGGTCACTTACCAACTTAATCCTAAACCCTAAACCCTAATGCATTGAGTCCTCTGTCCTTTTATTAAGTACGACCATGTAGGCTTGGGATCAGCTCCTAGGCTGCCTGCTCAGTCGTTATACATCTTCTGCCGTGGGGCTGACCCGAGCAGGCTAGTTGGCGCATCGGAGAGTCTGCATGCTTCTATGAACCAATGATCCCAAAGCAGAATCTTACATCCTAAACCCGAACGCTTGAGTTTGCCTTAAAGCACCACTTAGAACACTGATGTGGTAGGTTCAGAACAGAGGGGGCCCACCTAGGGCCCACAAGTGTCTTGCACGATAAGATTTCCAGCCCCTAAACTAGGGTCCCTTCTCAGGTCCCCAACATCGTGCGGCTCCCATTTAAAACGCACCGGAAAAGGGACCCTAGTTTAGAGAACATGTAGGGTTTCGAGTTGAGGGATGTGAGGTGGAGGTCAGGGCTTGTCGTGTTATAGTGTTTGGGTGTGCGGCTTCGAGTTTGGATGCTTCGTTCTTTCGGGTTCCTCGTTGATGGTACAGTCCCGTCCCGCTGGGTTGCCCTATCTGGATATAAATGACCATCTCTGTAAATCTGAAAGAGTGTATTTCCAACGTGCCCAGGCCAAAGCCGGAACCATTATGTTTTGTTAAAGGGATGCGGACTGTCGGGTTTCGTGAACCCGCACCAACCCGAAGGACTAGACACAAGATCAACTTGGGCCTCACCTTCCAATTCACTGCTGTCCGTCAGGACCTACCGCGTGACTGGTCTTGGGAACGCTTCACTGTTGTGAAGATCGCCGATGCACCATCGTAGGTTGAGAGTGCCATAAGTGTCCTCAAGGCTCACAGGCTCATGAGGGTTGTGTGTGAGTTTCATGGGTCTTATAGGTTACAGTTTGACGGATGGGTTTGGATGATGGATGCTTTTTGGGGTCAGGGTTTCCCGGACGGGGTGTGGAAGTTATGGGCGCCTGCGGTTGCTTGGGGACAGGCCCGATGGTTATCAAGAAGTATGGGCGTGATTGACAGTGTTTCACACAGCTCGGATCCGGAACAATAGTTGAAGTATGCACCGTAGTAACTTAGTAGCTGGGTAGCTAACCTTTAACCTTTTGGGGTTTGTATGATCCTACCATAGCAGAACATAGGGTACTCCTCAGCCTTGAAGGCACTGCTACTTGCAAGCTCCGGCTGCAGAGGAAAATCAGTTCTTGAGTCCACCTTTCCAGCCACATGACTGGCCCCGTGGTAACAGCCAGTCCCTCACCTTGTTGCTTTGGGGTGGGGGGGGGGGGGGGNNGTATGACGTAGGGTTTAGGGCCTTAGGGGTGTGCACCGGTGTGCATGTGCAGCCTGACGCAGCCGAGTCAGCTTTCAGGCTCGGCAAGAGGCTACATGTGTTCAGCCGGGCTTACTAGATGCAGGCTTGACCTTATTATTATGAAGCAATGCAAGTTCTTGGTGATTGCAGCGGCAGCCGCTCGTTGGCCATTGTAGTTTCGCTCCCTAGGCCCTACTTCTTAGGGTTTAGGTTCAGGGTTTAGTTGTCTTGAGTGGAGTTGGTTGTCTTGAGTGGAGTTTCGCGCTTTGGTCTGCTTCATCGCGCAGTCGTGGGTTGTTGTCCTTTTGGTTGTTTCACCCTGGGCTAATCTCACAGCCTAGGTTATGGGTATGGTTTGAAATCCTTGAGAGGAACCCCCTTGTTTTGGTCAGGTCCTCTTCTTTTCCGGGAAGTGAAGGGGGCAGGGTGGGAGAGGAAAAGAAGAAGGGCAGGGAGGAAGGAAGAGAGTAAGGAATGAACCCTAAACCCTAAACCGCTTCTTTTGGAATTTATCCTCATCGCTGCGTGCTTCGGCTTCAGGGCTTAATAACCCCTTAACCCTCAACCCTAAGAAAAAAACACGAACGGCACTACAAACCTCAGGACTTAGGACAGCTTTCGGCAGTTGTCGATGTTTGCTGTTTGCTGCCTGCTTTTCATCGCTTGCGCCTATGCAGCTGCACACAGCCGGCGCAGTAGATCGGGTTTCGGGTTCAGGGTATAGTATGTTTATATATGTATATAGTTATGTACAATATATATATATACATACATACATACATACATACTATTAATTACTGATAAGTCAGGCCTCTGTGATTGGGTCGACCACTTGTTGCAGCAATCCCTGGATGAAGATTTCAGTATCAAGTTTCAGCGTAGTCGTCACTGTTGGTAGATCTGTAGACACTTCTATGCTAGCGGCACCACATGTTCTCAGCAAAACGCATCGACGGATGTGTGCACCTTCCACAATCCTCGCACCTGGCTTTTGAAACCCTTGGCACACTTGTTTTCTTGGACACCATCTCTATGTTTGCCACCTGGACATGCTTTGGACGCTGGATTTCGCCACCCTGTCAAGCCCGTAAAATGTTGGAGAAAACGAAACAAGCTCCACAATTCTTGGAAACAAACAATGTGCAGGTTGAGGGATTCAGGGATACCAGAAATGAAGGTCTGACGCCATGCTGAATGCAACTGACGATATCCTTGACCTCTGGTCGGCTGAACCTTCAAGATCTAGGGTTCAGGGCTTGGGGCTGCCTGCCAGGGCAGGGTTTAGGGCTTACGATGTCCAGCCTGCATAGTCCCACTCTAGCCACTAGCCGCTAGCCCTATTTCCGCGAGTGTCATGCATCAGCGCTGCGCTCTGCAGTCAGGTCGGCGTGACTGCCAAGAAGTTGCACCGTCAGGAGCGAAGGGCATTGCAGAGAAAGCTAGAGCCCAATTTGAACATGTAAGATTTGGGCCTTAGGTTTTGAGCACCACATCCCTTGCGGCACCATCGCTTCGCCGATGTGGCTTGCTTCTATAAGCCAAGAAGATCCTGCAACTGTTGGGGGTTTACAGGAGGGCCTTAGGAGACGAATCTCAAAGCCTGACCTGACCTTGGCAGCTAGCAGAGGAGCCTAAAGGGCACACTAGATTGTTTTAGTTCCCTAAGCCACGGTTTAGGGTTTAGGGTTTAGGGTTTAGGGTTCGTGGCTTGGTAGTTCCCTGTGGAGCCTGTGTACTACGTTTTGGTTTGTACGTCATTCGGGCACACGGTGACACCTTCCAGACTTCAATTGTTCTTGCCATTCACCGAAAAGGTACCGTGTAGAACTGAAGGATCGACTATCTGAATCCGTTGCTCCGGCGCCTAAACCTAGAACGATGTGAGCAGGTTAGCTCCAGGCTATAGGGTTGGTCTAGGGTCTACGTTCTTTTGTTTGCAGTGTAGAGGGCGTCAAGAATTAGCATGGATGTTTGCCCCGGTTCAAGCCCCTTGTTTGTATCAGACAGAGCTCTAAACCAATCGGCAAACGTTCAACTTTTGCCTGAGACCCAAACAACCACCGTCCAGGACTTCCTCCATAATGAAG